TACAGTACTTTTACTTAAGTTTGGTTTTCTAATACTTTTACTCTAATACAATTGAAAGAATAAAATTCGTCACTCATTACATGCAAACTAATAATATATTTTTTAATTAATTATTAACCATAGTAAAAGAGTTGTGTGGGTGGATCCACGAAGGGTACGGTGTGGGGAGACACCACGCTGTCACATGACTAGAGGTCTCGTGAGGTAAGGTGACGTCAGGTCAGGTAGCCTACCCTCTTATCCCCCCTCCCCCATCGAGTCTCCTCTCTTCTCCCCCACCTTTCCTTCAGAGGCTTGGTCATCCAGTTAGACATCAATTGCTCTTTTCATATACCTGTACTGTACCTAAAATGAATTTCAAAGAGGCTGTGATTCTAAAATGCTTTATATAATTCCATCTTACAGTAGGCTCTCGCCAATAACGACTTCCACAATAACGTTTTCGACAATAACTGTAAGTTACAACAGATACCCATTTTCGATAATAACGTCTGAATTCTCTTGAATAACGGAGATTTTGTGGGAAGTGTCCGAGCGCATCAACGATAGCGTTTGTTTACCGCCATGTTGATGAAGTAGTTGTCCGCTCTGCCTCACTCTCACACACGCTCCATGGAATACAGCGCTGCGCCCACGTGTGAGATTTTAGCCTCTATAACTAGTGGTTGCTAGGGTCGGTGATCAATAATGGCTGCCGCATTTTTGCCTGTGGGGGTTAGGGGAGGTGGTGGAGGGAGTGATTTGCCGCCTGAACGCCCGGGAACTTTTAAAGTGATTGAGAAAAAAGATCCCAAAGCTAAGAGACAAAGCCACAAGAAGTGTGCCTACTCGGTCAAGGATAAAGAACAGATTGTTGAGCTCATTGAAAGTGGTGCACGGAACATTGATATTGTGAGGAAACTGAACTGTCCTGAGTCTACAGTGAGAAATATTAAGAAATATTTCGGTAGTGATGGAAATGCGAGGCGAGCTATGAATGATATAAGTGATTGAAACAGGTTGTTAGTGATAACAGAGCATTTTCTTTTGAAATGGTTAGCTTGTAGAATGAAAGACAGTGCAAGTCTTACCAGCCCTCAGATATGGAACAATCATCACACCAAGCACCTCAAAAACTCCCCCAAGCTAAGTGTTATAATACTCAAACTCTTTATTTTGATGATTGAATAACAATTCTTTTTATTTCAGCTAACAATAAGTGTTAGGCAGGGCTTCTAAGGGGAAAAATTGGGTGAAAGTCTTGGGGCGGCGGCACCAATAAACCCTTTTTACATGTATTTTAATGTCACACAAATAACGTTTTCGCTAATAACGGCGTTTTTCAGGCACCTATTAAACGTTATTGGCGAGAGCCTACTGTAGATGTAAAGCAGGTATCTACAGCTCCTCCCCGACTTACGACGGGGTTAGGGACCCAAATCCAGGTTGTAAGTCGAAAATGCTTAAGTAATACTGTACATAGAAAATCTAAAATGGGTGTCTCTTTTTCTTCTCAGCACCACAAAACTCTCACTTTTAAGCTTGCCAGCCATTTTAATTTTAAAGTGAAATACAAACGAAAATTTTGTCAGTTCACAACGCAATCACTAACGTTGGGACTCGAAAATACGTAATTTGACAATATATATTTGACAGTATATATATATATATATATATATATATATATATATATATATATATATATATATATATATATATATATATGCTGATAACCACAAGGAAAGAAGAAAACACGAAGTTCCCAAGCGCTTTCGTGTAATTCACATCTTCAGGGGTGAGTACAGACTAGAGAGAGTAATACAAATCAAGGTGTATATATACAGAGGAGGGTGAGACCAGGTCCACAATGGTCAGGTATTAGGTAATGACCCTACTAATCTTTAAATAGCACACAACGGTTGGTGGTCAGGTCAGATGGTCAAGTGACCCGGCCTTCTCACCTGATCACAAATCTTCTTAATTACAAAATTGTCCAGCTTGTACATGCCGTTACTCAAATTCATGTTGAATGCTTCGGTATGTTTAATAAGACTAGATTCTATGATGTTCCTACTGTCAATTGACTTACATGGTAATATTGAGGAGGCATTATCCCAGTCAATGCAATGCTTGTTATCCCTCAAATGAACAAACAGAGCATTGGATTCCTGGCCTGTCCTAACACTGTATTTGTGTTGTTTAATTCTAGTTGCAAGATCTTTACCTGTCTGGCCTAAGTAAAACATATTACATTCCTTGCAAGGAACTTTATAAATGCAACCAATTGTGTTGTTGGGGGAGTTCTTGATTAACATTTGTTTAACAGTGCATGAGTTTTTAAATGCCACATTGACGTTCCAGGTTTTTAGCTGTGCAGGAATGTGTGAGAAATTTTTGTGAAATGGTAATATTAAGATATTCTTATGGTCATGGGTGGGCTTGGGGTTAGTTCTATATATATATATATATATATATATATATATATATATATATATATATATATATATATATATATATATATATATATATATATATATATATATATATATATATATATATATATATATATATATATATATATATATATATATATATATATATATATATATATATATATATATATATATATATATATATATATATATATATATATAATGTAGATCCACAATGAAAACATGGATAAGATAAATCTTGATAAAATCACACGGAAAAAGGGAAACAACGGAGCACCTTAGCTTTCGTCTTTATTCAAGACATCTTCAGAGGCGAATAAAGACGAAAGCTAAGGTGCTACGTTGTTTCCCTTTTTCTGTGTGATTTTATCAAAATATATATACAATAAAACCTTGATTAACCGACCCTCGAATAACCGACTTTCGGATTAACCGTCAATCCCGAACTCCTAAATTTTAATTTTTAAATTTTTTTTTTTATTTTTTATTTTTTTTACGGGGATTAGCCCACCCGGGCACAGGTCACTGACCCACATCGGGGCCTGGGGGGCGATAATGTAATAATAATAATAATGATAATAATAATAATAATACTGTACAGTTGTACCCCGCTTTACGTGGTCAATTGAACCCACAGGGTACCGCGTTAAGTGAACAACAGAACATATGGGATTAATTCCAATAGAGACTGGCCCAACCCCCAAACTCCACTTTTTGATGACACAACTATGTTGTAGTAAAAATATTATCTTAACTGTATGATGGTATGCACACACAATTAATAATTAAGAGAAATATCAATAATATTAGGTTTTTTAACACTTACATTAGTAGAAAAGATGGCTGGGCACACGGGGATGGGGGGTTGGTTCCGAGGCAGAGGGCAGATTATTGGCCCTCACCTGTATCACTTGTATCAATTGTATCACTATCCACCACAGAGGCTTGCAGGGCCTCTTTGTCAAACCCCTCAAAGTCCATATAAGTCCATATCCTCACTATAATTATGACTATCACTGACTTGGGCCGGCTGTGGTGGGTGGCGGGTGGTCCCCCCTTTTAGTCCGGACCTTCGAGGGTTCACTGTACTTGTATTATTGTTAATTTCTTTTTTAGAGGGGGGGGGGGTTATGTTACAGAGCAATCAGTTATAAAGCCAAAGATATATGGTTTATGCAAATAAAAGTTTTGGTGTGAAAATTGCTAGAGCGAAATAAATATATTCACCATACACTGTCTCGCCTCCCCTGGGGGACTTAGAGATGTGATCTTGGAACTGGAAAACTTAAAACTTATCTCGTGCACCAGAGGGTTAATAAAAATATTTACAGTAAAACATTTAATAAGAAATACAATACAGTATATAAAATAATGATAACCATAAATGAATACAGTAATGAAAAAATCAAGAGTGAGAAACAATATACAGTATGTATGTTGTGTTGTCAAAGTAAGAGAAACAATTGAGACCCTGCAATTGTGTGTAAATGAGGCAGAAAGTTAGATGAGCAACCTGGGACTTGGTCACAATGTTCGTGATGCCATATGGCAGCAGGGTCTACCATTAGACAACACATTATGCTTCCAATTCCCAGGCGGTAGTACAGTACCTCCCTGTTTGGTAGCTGCCTACTTCCTACTAGAGACTGTCAGTTGATTGAAAATGTTCAAAGTAGGGCCACCAGACTGGTGCCTGCACTACAGCACCTCAATTATCCAGAGAGATTAGAATGCTGCAACTACCTAGCTTATACTACAGATGGGCAAAGAGTGACCAAATTGAAGTTTATAAACATCTCAGAGAGCACTACTCAGTCAAATGTTCATACCTGGAGCTGGCTTTCTCCTGCCCCTCACAAGCCCAGAAAACTGTGAGAGCAAACTTTTTTGGAGTGGGAATTGTGATCTCTTGGAACAACCTGCCAGGGTGTGTTGTGATGGCACCGAGTGTGAGCTCTTTCAAGACCAGACTTGACCAACACTGGAGCAGGTTCAATATATTCAGGAGCCAGTGCATGCCCAGTACATAACAGAGATGTGACCAAGCGGCTTACGAGCCTTTTGGTGGAGAAGAGCTTAAAAATAAAAGTAAAGAGTCAAGCACCTCAGATTGCTTCAAAATTTTCAAGATAGAAATGTTTCTAATATTTTTCACAAGTTATTTTATTCTATGGACTCGGGTGCTTTCCTGCCAGATAATTTATTTTGTTTATTTTTTATTGATTTCTATTTATTACTTACACTTTAAACTAGCAAATGATACTCACATATGAATACTACTGTACATAGTTAGGGCAACATTTTGATACCAAGAAAACTTTGCTTGCTGTAACTGTCCAAACTATCACCTCTTCAATCTTCCGAATTTTGTCCAAAGTCACCATTATATTAACTCATAAACAATGTGTGTGTGTGTGTGTGTGTGGAGCAGGTACCATAATTAGTCTGTAAGCCATATGAGCAAGGCATTTTTCATTGCCAAATGAAAAAGAATAAAACCTGAATAATGTATATTGTTGGTGTCTGTGGAATTGTTCAATGTTTTCTTATCTCTTTTAATAATTTCAGAAAAGAACATGTCAAAAGCGAGTTGTCCTCCTATGTCGGCGCCGCCGCCATATGCCCCACCCAGCTATTTTCAAGCAGTTGGAGGTGTGCCTCCACGAGCACCCTTCACACCCTTCCAAAGTAAGGTACCTATAGAATACAGTATAGGATTGTTTGTTGTTGTTGTTCCCCACAGTACCATTTTTTGTTTTGTAAATATAACAAGGATATTTATTGATTATAGAATGAATTAGTTAATTCTGTACTAATACAGTATTACAATATTATATATATTTAATATTTAATGGTTTTATCTCTTGCTCACATTGCCATTACTGTATGTTTTATCATGTAAATAAAGCAAGGTTACTTAGTGGGTCTGTGAATAAATACTGTATTTATCCCTCAACTCTCTGTTATGACTTGAGAATGGCTAACACATCTAACAAAGAGGTTCCATTACAATGGAAGTGTAAATTTATAAACACTACCATGAGGTAATCCATCTAACAAGGCAGTGAACAATACAGTGAATGTTAACTGATAGGTGGGGTTGGTCAAATACTGTACAGTAGTGTAAAGGGGCAAACCATGAGGAAGTACTGTACTGTTCTCATATTTTAACTTGCAGAATTGAGGTGCATCCCCAGATGGTGTTCATCTATGTGGGAGTTTTCAGCTCTGATATTTTGTTCACACAGGAAAGATTCCTGGAGGAAACAGGGACTGACTCATGGAAATTACTCTCATTAATGTTTTAAGCTGTTTGGTCATTGTTTTTTCTTGTCTATGTTAGTACAGTAATGTTGAGCTGTTCCACCCATCTTATTTAATAATTACAGTACTCTGATCTAATATGTTGAATTTGAGTCCACAGTTTGTTATTATCCTCCTTCATATTAGCTGAGCAAAGTCTGTAAATGAGCACAGCTTTGCAGCCTCACTTTGGGGGTGTGCTTCATATTTGATTGTTCTTGTGGGTTTTTTTTCCATTCTATGAAAGGAGGAGATTTTTACCATCTTGTGTTAATGTTTTCAACTGAGTTTTTAGTGGGTTTGGATTTTTCCTGTTTTTGCATAATACATGGATGGAGAAAGACTTGTCTCTCTATACAGTATAGTCTGCATTTACGTGGCTTTTGTTTACGCGTTTGGTCATTTATGCGGTGCCTTGCCAGAATGAAAATGCTTTCATTACGCGGTAAATTTGGTCATTTACGCGGCGAGCGGCTGGAGAGGTCCAGACCGCCGCGCCATTTTTTACCCATGCGGTCCATTCTTTGATTGACAGATACTGTCGTGAAGAATATTTTTTTTTTTTATTAACTGAAGATATTTGTTTTAGCTCATAAAATTCATACAAATTACCCTGCCAGAATATAATTTGCATTGCTGGAATTCTTACAATTTGATGATCACTTTGAATATAAACATCATAGATTTTGCATTAGACATACAAATTTTATATCTACTTTAAGTATTTTGTTTACTCTGAGTAAATATGTGATCTTTTGTGCAAAATATATGACATTTATATTCAAAATATTCCTGGTCTTACAAGGAATCCAGCAATATTATCCTAACTTTAGTTTGAGGTATTATTTATTACTATACCTTAAAATCTAGTGGTTTTCCCCCAAACATTTCTCAGAGAGGGAAGAGCCAGGAGTGTGAGAAGAGGGGGAGGGAGTTGAGTCCATTATTTGAATGGACATTAACTTGGCGACTGTATTTCTCTATTTCTCTTAAGTATTAATTGTGTGCATGTACCATCATAAAATTAAGATGTTATTTTTACTAGAACATAGGTATTGTGTCGGAAAAAGTGGAGTTTGGGGGTCAGCCAGTCTCTATTTTATTTAATCCCATATGTTATGTTGTTCACTTTACGCGTTTCTCGCTTTATGCGGGCCTCCGTGGGTTCAATTGACCGCGTAAAGTGAGGGTTCACTGTATTGAGAATTATTATTTTTTTTTTACTGAAGTATAATGTAGCCTACATCAAGTGTAATATTCGTAAATAAAAAGCAGGTGTGTAAATGTGGATGATATCTAGGAAATCTACAGTATATATGTAAACAAATGTATTTCCTAATTTCAACAAAATTTACACGATACAACAAAGCACATACAAGTAATTCAAATATACAAAGTACAGAAGCCATACTGTATATAACTACAAGTTACACATTAAATAAAGTATTACACAATGAGAAGGGCGCAGCCTTCTTCAACTCACTTTTATGAGAAACATGACCAATAGCACTAGATTGTTCTAAAAACATAGGAAACCACGAGATACAAGCGGTATACTTTCATCTGACGCAAAAAAATATATATATATATATTAGTTTTACAGCCTCATCATTCGTGACTTAGCTTCAGCAAACTTACCAATTATTTCATCAAAATTAACTGTCTTGGCACATTCATTTTCGATAGAGATCATAGCTAGGCTGTTCAATCTTGCCTGAGTCATGCTAGAACGAAGATAATTCTTGATGAGTTTCAGTTTAGAGAAACTTTTTTCACATGGTGCAACAGACACACATATTGTTAAAAAGAATCTCAGGCACAATGACAAGTGTGGCAAGGTTTAACAAAAGTCTCATTTGACAATAAACTTCAGGAACTGCAAGACTGTCCATTTATTTGCTTCTTCAGGTGTGATTTTGGTAGCCTCCATGTCTCTGCGAAGTCGCATAATTTCTACCATGACATCCTCAGCAGAAATTTCATTAAAAATCTTGGTCATGCTTGAATTTGAAATACTCCCCTGAAGTTGTTCTTCTTTTGCAGAAAGCAAGTAGCTTGGCTGAATAGCTGCAAATATTGACAAGATGTTATCCATGGCCTCTGAATGAGCATCCAATTCTAGACTAAATCGATCTAAGCATTCAAACATTGATCTCCTCATTTCCTCTTGCATTGTCAGTCCAGCATCCCTCGCCATCTCTCCTGGCATCATTTTCTTACGTCTTATCCTTCCTCTTGTTTCCATGGAGATGCCCATTTCTTCACATTGTGTAGTTGCATATTGAATCGCTCTCTCCACAATTTCATTCCGCTGACCTCGAAGAAACAATTTCAAACCATTGAGCTTTACAGTGCACTTTTCAAGACTTATTCCTTCTGTTTGCAAATACTTGTGTGTGAGATTCACTTCTTCCAGTACATCACACCAAAAAGAAAGATAACCCAAAAAATAAAATCACAGCTTTAAGCAAAACTTCAGCTGATCCTCTTGTGTCAACATTTTCTCTTTGATCCGTCAATGTTTCCAGGGTTATGATCAGCTTCTCAAATTGTTTCTTGAGAGGACTTTACGGCATCATGATGTGCACTCCATCTAGTCTGAGACAGTCTTTTGACTGTCAGGTTCATATTTTCTTTCAGTACTTCCCATCGGTGAGTTGAAAGTGAAAAAAAGCAATAAAGTTTCTCTACAGTTCCAAAGAATGTTACACATAAAGGATTGGCTCCAAAAGAGCAAAATTTCATTAGCAATTCAGAAATGATTATGTTGTACATACAAAATTCGATTTATTTCTTGATTTTCTCTGAATACCTATTAGAATCACTACAATACAAGTTACAGCATTATCACATCCTGACTGCAGCAAAGTTAATGTCCAGTCCATCACTCTCATATTACCGGTGGATATCTTGTTTCATTTGCGCCTTTTTTCCAGCAATACAAAGAAACCCAAGAAAGATTCCTCTTATCAACAGAATCACCTTCAATATGAACATCATATCTAATCACTACACCTGATCTGTAAGGAGAAATATTTCTGCAAAATTGTCAAAAGAATTCCAAAATAATTGGCCTCTTTGACAGCCAAATTTTTTCCTAACATTATTTCCTAGGAAGAATAGATGAATCTATTCTTAATATTTAGTGACAAATACATTCACTTCTCTCAGATGTCTGAGATGTGATTAGTTTGCTTAACCTCCAAAAGATGTTCAAACAGGATCATAGTTTGATAAAAATTCCACCAGTTCCAGGAAATTGCCTTTGTTTATTGACAACATGTCCTCCTATGACCACTTAAAAAGGAAGGTTCTGTCGAGCTAGAAACATAGGTCACATCCAAAAGACTATGAAGTGGCAACCTCTATTTCTTCCTCTTGTCCATTGCAGCTGACTGTTCATGATCAACAGTTTTTGAGCTTTAGTCCGCTGCAGCAAAAGGCCACAGAGGACAGATATTTACGTATTTATGAGCCTCAGGCACCCCTCTACATGTCGTCTGGTGGACTCTCTCATTAGTACGCCACTGCAAGAACCTCACGTAATGAAGACATCGAAAGGGTGGTGTCTACGGTGTAAGCACCGCCCATAGGTGTTAAGATGAGGACCTCACGTAAATTTAAATATATATAGGTGTTATATTATATATATATATATATATATATATATATATATATATACATACACATACATACATATATATACATATGTTGACATATATACATATATATATGTCATCATTTTAACTCTTTCCATCAATCTGCCAAGATATACTAAAATGCTCACAAAGGGAACTTCTCAATTAACGCCAGCATTTTCATCATATACGGGAAAGTGTCCCGCCCGAGAGCCATAGATTCTCGCACGCACTTCACCCACCACCCCTGCCTGACTGCTCGTTTTAGCTATGTACCTTATACAAATTACCAGCCAGAATATAATTTATACGTTGAATTTTATATTTCAGGATTAATGGAATATAAAACAATATATATTTTGCATTAAATACGTACAAACAGATTTTATACACCCACTCAGGCCTT